GACACAGAGACAGACAGAGACAGACAGAGAGACAGACAGCTCTGAATACTTCTGAAACATGTCTTGATCCACATAGTGCATCTGACAAGGGCAGTCCTACCGGGGCTGACACAGAACCGTACCTACTACATCTCTGCAGCACACCCAAGGCAATCAGGAGACAAAGACTATATCCGACTGAGCATCTACTTTGTACTTAGGCACTGTTGTGTTCGTTTTATTTAACTTTCTAGCACCTACCTTGAGACTAGATCACATCAAAGATGAAGAAATGGAGACGTGGGTTACAGAACTAGTGAGCATCTTAGTCTTCATCCAAAGCCTTGAACTACAATCTTCTGACCCACACTCCTCCACCTCTTCCAGTGGCTGCTGAGCTCATTCTTGTGTGATGCTGTTTTGTGTTGAGAGCGTTCACAGAAGCCAGCAAAGTCCTTGCAGCCAGACCTCAGGGCAGGCCTAGTGGCCCCTTCCACCTCCTGAAAGAAGGAAAAATGCAAGTTCTAGAGGATGCTCACTGCCCTCCGGTTCTAACTGTGTACTGTCTCAGTCTCACCAGGGCACTTCCCTACTGGGGGCTTCTTTATGAGAAGTCAATCTGCAGTGGACTAATTAAGCACTGTATTGATTTGGTATTCTCTGGGGCACTAATAAAAGGGCTAGATTTTTAAATGCACTGTCTGACTTACTAGAACATTTCTCCTCTAGAACTACTGCCATCCTCTCAGCCACCCCAGACAGGTACCAGTCCCCCTTTCCTGCATAAACTGACTTCTAGCCTTTCCCCAGATGTGGTATGGCAAGAAAGAGAGTGAGAGTCCTTCCGGGTTTGGGGTCATGCTGATTTAACACTTCATCATTTATGCATCCTGGCGGCCTTGCTCGTAGATCTTTATTTTTCCATCCTGCTAAATACCTCACAGGGCTGCTGTTCCTCTTAATTAGTTAATGTTTGTAAGGCACATTACAGAGGAAAGTGCTGTGTCCGTGCTAAATATGAACATTTGGGTATCCTCAAGCTGTCCATTGTCTGCACTGGCACAACACAAATCGTGAGACATTTCATTTGGAAAAAAAATTGGGTATTCTCCCCTGAACTGTATACTAAAATATACATATTTGGGGATAGGCAGTGTTAGTCAACACAGGACAGTTTGTGTCAACACAGCCTTCAGACCCAGGTGTAATGTTTTCTTCTCTACTGAGAGCACTATAATCTGAGGAGGAGTGAGAAAGGAGCCTTCCCTGGGAATTGTGTTGCTTTTTTGGGAGATCCTTAGCCTTCCTGATATGTGGGTGTGGTTTTTGTTTTGTTTTGTTTTTGCACAGTGAGTAAGTGACCAAAACAATTTAGCTGCATTTCCAATGTGTCTGAGAAAGAAAAGCATTTAAAATTATGGCACGTTAATAATTTTCACTAAGAAGAAATTTAAATATCAGTTTCATTTGCTTTGCTAGCATGATCACTAAACTTGAGTTTATCAAATTTTTAAATGTATAAAGAAAAATGTTAAGCATCTTTATTAAGGTGTTTGATTTCAATCACCTATCTTTACAAACACACAGGTACATAATGTTTTCTATAAAAGACAATGGATTTCCATTCTTTCCCATAGTCTGTTTTCTAATCCTCAATTTTTAGGTGAGATTGACATTGAAAAATAAGAAAACCGAGGCTAGGGATATAGCTCAGTGCTTGCCTGGCAAGTGCAAGGACCTGGGTTTGATACCCGGTACCACATGCAACCACCAAAACCAGGCATGGTGGTACACACCTGCAATCCCAGTGCTGGGAAGGCTAAAAAGGAGGATTACTACGAGTCCAAAATGCATAGTGAGACCCTGTGTGAAAGAAAGAAAGAAAGAAAGACTTTAAAATAGAAGAGAAATTTGTAATTTTTATTTTATTTTACTTAATATTGAGGTCTTACAAAAACATGATTTGGGGGTAACTTTCTTTTTTCCAAACAAAAATGTAAATTTACAGTCTACAAGCCAGTTGATATTTCTTCTCAAATTCATAAGATTACTATTACCTACAAGTAATTTACAGTAATGTTAAAAAACATTATTTTGGCAGATTAAGATTTCATTCTAAGTCTATAACAAATTATCCTTCATCTTTTAATTTCTTTTCAATGTAAGAAAATCCATAGTTTATTTGAATAATCAAAATTCCTAAATACTGAAGCAGGATCTTCAGTCAATGTAAATTTACATAATTCATCTTCCACTCAGTTTGCTATAATTAGCACAGCTGTCACCAGGGAGCCACGTTCTTGTGGGCAGGTAGCTATGGGTACAGCAGGCCGGCTTCAGTCAAACATTTCCTTTTTAAACATCTATCAGTTTTTCCTCTCATTTCAAATGAGTCAGGTTCTATGAAGAATTTGGTCTTTACTTACCAGATTTCGCTTTTCTAATTTTGACTCCCATTCCTTAACTTACAATTCATTCTCCAAGTCTGCTTCGTCAGAAGACATAAATAAGACACTAAAGAATTTCCTGGTTAGCCTGGAGTTAGGCTGCATATATGATATTTTTCTTCGTAGCTTGCATATTCTATCAAGGAAGATCTTCAATTCAAACTGCAATTATAGTGTGGATAAAAACATGGTAAAAGTATATTATAATAACAGGGCTGGGGATCTAGCTCAGCAGTAGAGCATTTGCCTATTGTATATGAGGGCCTAATTTCAATCTCCAGTACTGTAAAAAAAAAAAAAAAGCAAGTTCCGAATAGCAAAATAAATACCTCCTCTTTCTCTTTTACATTATCTTTCTTGCTGGACATGGTGGCATGTGCTTGTAATCCCAGCATTCAAGAAGGTGAGGTAAGAGGATGGCAAGTTCAAGCCCAGCCAAGGAAATTTAGCAACTTAGCAAGTCCCTGTCTCAAAATAAAAATTTTAAAAGTTCAATAGGAAGGCACTGCCTTTCCGCTGTGACTCCGGCTCGGTGCAATCGGCTGGGGACGGCTTGCGGCCTTACGGAGTCCTGAGCGGCCCCCTCTCACTCTGCAGCGATGGGCAAGTTCATGAAGCCGGGGAAAGTGGTGCTGGTCCTTGCCGGACGCTACTCCGGACGCAAAGCCGTCATCGTGAAGAACATCGACGACGGCACCTCCGACCGCCCCTACAGCCACGCCCTGGTGGCCGGGATTGACCGCTACCCCTGCAAAGTGACAGCCGCCATGGGCAAGAAGAAAATCGCCAAGAGGTCGAAGATCAAGTCCTTTGTGAAGGTGTATAACTACAACCACCTCATGCCCACAAGGTACTCGGTGGACATCCCGCTGGACAAGACCGTGGTCAACAAGGACGTCTTCAGGGACCCCGCCCTCAAGCGCAAGGCCCGGCGGGAGGCGAAGGTCAAGTTCGAGGAGAGATACAAGACGGGCAAGAACAAGTGGTTCTTCCAGAAGCTCCGGTTTTAGGTGTTTTTTGTTTGTCATTAAAAAAATTAAAAAAAAAAAAAAATAGGAAGGCACTGAGTTCAAACTCCAGTACCAAAAATTGATGAATGAAATTGTCTTTCTCCTAAGTATTTGGTATAGAGTTCAAAAGAGGAATAAACAGGGCTGGAGAGATGGCTCAGTGGTCTAAAGCACCTACTTGAAACAAGCTTGGCAAAGCACAGGGACCGCGGTTCGATCCCCAGCACCACATGCCAGCCAGCCCCACCCCCTGGTGGGCTGAGCTGGCCACACACACACAATAAATAAATGTAATAAATAAAAATAAATAAATATTAAAAAAAAAGAGGAATAAACAAATTTTTTACCTACTCTTACACAGTGAATACAATATTCAACATCTCTGGCCACCAAAATGTGTAGAGACTTTCTCTCAACGACAACTGATCAAATTTCCATCAGATGCCAGTTGAGTACCTACAATTTAGCTCCATTCTGGCTCTGTCTACCTGGGGAGAGTCTGAGAGTCGCAGTTCAACTGCTCAGTCTGACAAGACTGCTCCCATTTCAGATGCCATTTGCAAACTCCAGGTTGTGAGCTATGCTTCTAACTGACTTGGCTAAGAATTAAAGATTCCCACTATTTCCACTTTGGGTTGTTTGCTAGGGTGGTTTATCTATTCTCTTTCCAAACTCAGGGAAACATTTATGCTTTCCAATTAATATGTTATAAGGCTTATTACAAAGAGTACAGATGTACAACCTGATAAAAGAGTTGCAGAGGACATCTTTTACAGAATAGGAAACGTGAGAAGATATGCTCAATGGGATAGGGCGTTTCCATGCTTTCGTGGGGTGAACTGTTCCGGCACCACCATGTGTTCAACAGCATAGATGTTGTCTGGACCCTATCCTTTTGGGGTTTATGGAAGCTTCATTATATAGGCCTGATTGATTGCCACATTAGCCTGTGGGGCCAACTCAATTTTTGTCACCCCTTCCTTCCTTAAAGGATAAGGGGGCTGGACATTTCAATCTTCTGATCATGCTCTCTTGATCTGTTTTGTGCTGTTCTAACAGAAGTCCACAGCCTAAGTAATTTAGAATGAAACAAGTGCATTTGCCATAGTTCTATGGGCAGAAAAGTTCAAGGATAACATGCTGAAATTTGGTGAGGGCCTTCTTGCTGCATCACATTCTGTGCTGAGAAGGTAAAGAGAGATAAGAAAGAGATGGTTGAGAAAGAGAACTTGAGGAGGGGACTGAACTTGTCCTGTTATAAGGACAACTTATTCTGCGGCAATAAGTAGAGCTACTCCCTCTCTAAGGGCAGGAGTCCACTAACTCAGAACTTACAGCTGAATCACTTCTCACAGGCTCCCTTCCCAGGACTTGCATTGGGGACTAAGTTTCCAAAGTATGCCCTCTGGGGGACACAATCATAGCCCAGGCCTTTGTTTTTCCAGAAACCAGCCCCCATCATGAAGCTGTTCATGAGCCCGACTATTATTCATCTTCTTAGTATGTGTTGTGGTGTAAAGCTTAAGTCCTCCCCAAAAGCTGTATTTTGAAAGCTTGGTCACCATTCTTACTATTGAGAGACTATAGAACCTTTAAGAGCTGGAGCCCAGCAGAAAGAGATAGGTCACCGGGGCCACATCCTATCCTCAGCTTTTGCGGGAGGGGAAGAGGGGATGGGGGTTATGGCCCTTTTGTCTTGCTCCTTGACTCCTAACTTCCATTAAATGTGCAGATTTCCTCTTTCACATCCTGATATTCTGTATCACCTCAGGCCAAAAAGCACTAGAGGCAGCTGATCGTATGCTCTGAAACTGTGGACTAAAATTTTTCCCTTCTTTTATCTCAGATGTTCTGTCACAGTGACAGAAAGCTGACAAGCAGAGCACACAAGACATTCTTGGTGAAAAATAGACTGCAGACAGGACCAAAAACCGTGGACTGAAGACTGTTAGCAAAATATAGCCGTTGCAAGGCCTGGAATCAACACACGTGGAAAACCACTTGGTGAATCAAAAAAAGAAGTAGGCATCTGGGAATCTGAAAAGAACTGGCAGGGAGAACTATGAACTACAAAGAAGCTGAAGAAAAGGAGCACAATGAAGAGAAAAGGAAGAAAGCAGTCTGGGGAGCTGTCCACAGCTCTTGCGGGAGGGCACCTGTATCTACTAACACAAGGCAAGCTCAGAGGGGGCAGCCATTCCAGAGAGAAACAATGGGCCAGGCTGGCAGATGTGCTGGAGAAAAGCCTGCAGTTACCGTAGAATGCACACACTGGGGTTTTATTGTAAAAAGGTTTCAAGGCAAAGCAGAGTTGAAGAGACCCGGTGCAGTGCCCATCACTCTTGAAAGTGTTTAATCAGGAGCTGTTTGGGGAAGGAATTAATTGATTAAGACTAAGCTACAGAACAACTGCAGAAAAACTACACAACAGGGTTTCTGAAGTTATCCTACTTCAGTGACTGAGATGGCCACAGGAACAGTGACAGACAGGGCCAGGCTTGACATAGACCCCCCACTGAGAAATTTCTGTTCAGAAACCCTCCTGTCAAGAAGCAGACTAGTCAAGTGTGACTTTGGAGGAAACTGGTCTCAAAGTGCTGGCATTAAGTCCAGTCAACTATCTGACAACCCCTACCCCACCTGGTTGCTTCCTACGTCCTACACAGAATATAATGGTCCCAGTCTACCAATATGACCTGATATGCCTTGGTTTGAACAGTTGCCACACTCTGGGATATACGGACAGAGGGGACTCTGGATCAGGGTGGGCATCATACAAAGCCACAGACCATAAAGGTAGGCAGAGAAAACTAGGACCTGGGGAACAAATGAGGACACAGAGACCTGGAGTGGCTGCTGTGAATGCAGCCTTAGGGCAGACACCCTTGACTGACCATGCCCAGGGGAAGAGGCGATGCAAGATCCAGCATTCACACACAAAAGTGTGAGTATGGAAACAAAGTAGATTTTACCAGTGACTCACTATCCCTCCCCCATAGCTGGGGATTCCCAGTGCTGTAGATCTTGGAAAGAAACCAGTTCTTCAAAAACATGGAGGGATTGTGACGGGGCTTATTTCTTTTTTTTCTTCAGTTTTTTTTTTTTTTTTTAAATTTTGATTTGTGTTTTTTGCTCCTGGGAATTTAGGACCTCACACTTGCCAGGCAGTCCCTATGCTGATCTGCTACATCCTGGCCCCTCTTCTTTTTTTTTTT